CACCCACCTCATAGAAATGTTATGAGGATTAAATGATATCAGTGGTAGGTACTCAGCTAGTGCCAGGAACACAGGGCTACCAATAACTGTCCCCTGTGTATAGGCCACGTAAATGTTGGTGGCAGTATCATTTTTGGCTCCACACCCGGCTTGCTCTGCTTGATCCTGTATTTATCCAGCTCTTTCCCATCTTGCAGCCCCCACCTTAGCCTTTACCTTCCCAGGAAGTCTCTCCCATTCTCACCCCAGATCCCTCTTCCTCATTCTCCAGGTGGCCCAAAGCTCATTGGTCCCACACAGTTGCTATACTCTATTGTTCAGGAACTAGAGATAAGAGAACTACATCTGCAGTTCAGATGCAGGTTTTGTTTTTTGTTGTTCAGGGGTTTTTGTTTTGTTTTGTTTTTTGTTTTGGTGATACGGGGATTTGAACTTGGCCTTGTGCTTGCTGAGGCAGTCACTCCACCACTTGAGCTGCCCGCATCCCTTTTTGCTTTAGGTATTTTTAAATAGAGTCTCATGTTTATGCCTAGGCTGGCATGTCCTATAATGCCCCTATTCTTCCTACATAGCTGGGATGACAGGCATGCACCACCATACCCAGCTTTTATTGGTTGAGAATCTTACAAATGTTTTACCCAAGCTGGTCTCAAACCACAATCCTCCTGATCTCCACCTTCCAAGTAGCTAGGATTACAGGTGTGAGTCATGGTACCAGGCTGTGGGGGGAGTAGTCTGTTTGTTTTCTTAAATACAGTCAGCCCTCCCTCTGCTCAGGTTTCAAAGCTATGGATACAACCATGGGTCAAAAATATTTAAGTAAAAGTTAACATTACAACCATAAAAATACAAATAAAATGACATATAACAACTATATAGCATTTACATTGTGTTAGGTATTATAAGTAATACAGAGAGGACTTAAAGTACATGGGAGGAAGCAGGTCGTGGCAGTGTACATGTCTGTAATCCTAGCACTCAGGAGGCTGAAGCAGGAGGATTGAGAGTTTGAGCCAGCCTAGGCTACATAGTGAGTTTCGGGCCAGACTGGGCTATAGAAGCAAAAAATTAAAATAAACTGTCCGTGAGGATGTGCAAGTTGTATGCAAGTACTATGGCATTTTATTCAAGGGACATGACATTGAAGATGTGGGTATCCTGGGAGCAACCCCCACAGATACCCTGTGTCCCTCTGCATTCTGTTGAATTAGCAGATGCAAAGCTCATAGATAGGATGGGCAGATGGCATGGAGGTGACCATGCTGAAGCCTCCAGAGTGCTCACCAGCTCCTCAGGGACAACATCCCAACACAGTTGCAGTGTACCATGGCATGTGCCAGCCTAAGTTTGTCCAAAATGCTCTGCTAGAAACCCAGGTTGTCCTGTCTCCCAAGGCAGGTCCTTTGGACACCATGCCTTGACACAGCCATATCTTAAAGAGGTTCTGACCATGGGGACATGTGCTCAAATAAGGGGCCTCAGTCGTAGTCCCTCCCCAAGCTCTGCTTGCAGGGCACAGCAGCTCCATCATGTTCTCTGACATGGATTTCTCTTGGAGATCTGTGTGGCTTCTGAGTCCAGAGATGTGAACTGTATGGAACCAGTGGAAGTTTGTGGGTACTACTGAGAACCTCCTATAGTCTCTCTTGACACAGTCTCCCCAGGGACATAGGCTGAGTGTTTTTGAGCTGCTGGGCTGCCATCTTGGCTCTTCTACTTGCTGTGTAGCCCATTTCCTTCCTCAACTGTAGAGGAGGGGACAATAGAAGCATGTGCCAGGTAGTCATGGGTCTGAAGAGTTAGAGAAAATCTGTAGTCCAGAGCCCAGGTGATGAGGCCCTGGTGTTCTATCCCACTCCACTGCTGGACCCTTCCTGTTCCCTATCCTTGGGGACAGGACCCAGACCAGGCCAGGTGTTGATTCCATTCAGGACAGGGCAGGCCAAGACTAGTTATGTGTCTCAAACTTGGAGCCAGATGTGGTACACACCTGTAATCACAGCTACTCAGGAGGCAAAGGTAGGAGGATTGAGATTTGATGCCAGCCTGGAGCTAGAAACATTTTCAAAACTCTCAGGTAGCTGAATCTCTTAGACTAATCTCTGTTATACCTTATTAGCACCCACAGTACTAACTCAGTGGGACTCAGAACAGGGCCTGGTGTATCTCCAGCTCTCAGTATGGGTGAGGGAGGCAGAAGGGCTCTTGTCTCATGAAGAGGTTTCTGGGAAGCACTGTCCCCTTCCTGCCTGGTAACTTCCTTTGAGGAGTTGTAGTACCAGGTAGGCACCATGTAAGTGAATCCTGTGGCCTGTCCAGGAGATGGGAGGATGCTACACTACACCCAGAACATGCTTTGGCCTGAGTGCCTGCATTTCCCACCCTGTGCTGTTTTGTTTTGTCTCCACTCACCTCTTCCTCAGCTGCAGGCAGGTTCCGTGACCTCGTTCAGTGATCAGCTCATCACTCACGTCACCCTAGAGTCAGCGAAGGAAATTAGTAGCCAGTGGGTCACAGTGGGAGTTCCAGCAACTACTGAGGTGCTGTCCCCTTGGAGATTCCTAATGGGTTTGGTTCAGGTTGTTACTTAGCTATCCTCATCATTAGGGGACATTCTGGGCAGATGACCAACTCTCTGTCTTTCCTCATCAGCAGACCCTAAATTCAGTCCCAGAGAGACTGAGGGAACTGTGTGGTAATACCTGGGTTTGGGGGTAACTCGGAGCTGGCCCCAGAGCTAGAGGTCTAGGAGCCTGGCCTTGGGGCTCTCTTAAGCTTCAGTGGTGGCAGTGTCCTATGTGGGGCAGTTTTTATCACCATATACAGGCCCTGGGGATGCTCCTGAAGCAAGCAGTCACCATAAGCCAGTTATAGCAGTGGAGACATCAGGTGATACTCTGCATGCACTGACCAAAAGTACTTTCCAAGTGCAAAGGAGGGTAATACTCACCTTAATAGAATAGAAAGTCCAGAAGAGACTGGACACAGGGATCCAGCCACTTCAGAGGATTCCAGCGTGGTGGAGAGGACTGCTCATTGAGAAAGTGGACGTCTTGCCACCTGGAGAGAAGGAAGGTCAGCTCTTTACTCTTAGAATTTATCTCAGAGTAAGCTGCAGATGGACTGGGAACTTAATTATACAAAGGAAAGTATGTGAGAATTTAACAAAATAATCTCGGGAAGGGGAGGCCTTTCTAAGCCTGACAAACCGAAAGGCTCTACATGAGAAATTGAATGTGTTCAGGTCCAAAAAATGAATTGCTACACAGATAAAGCCAGCATGAAAGTTAGAAAAAAAAAAATGACAAGATGGAAAAACAAAACTTACCTCACAGATAAAACTTCAGTTTCCTTACTGGATGAAGAATGCCTACAAAGCAGGGCAGAAAAAACCAACAGTTCCCCAGAGAAACCTCAAAGGACAGAAGCAAGGAAGGTCTGGGGCCAAGCCATGAGGGCCAGAGCCTCACATCCCACGGCTGGGAGTGGGGAAAACAATGCCTCTCTTATCAAATATAAAACACGCAGAACAGTCAGGGAGGGCTGCGTGAGTGCTCAATAGACAAAATGGACAGGTGCCCAGCCTTACCCAGGGATGAGAAGTTCTAGCTTTGATAAGAACTATACTGTGAAATGGCAGTGACAGGCATTCTCCACAGCACTGCTGATATCCAGAGGACCTAGCACTGACAAACCCGAGGGACAGAAATGCCAGTCAGAACTTACCCTTTCAGCAAGCAGCCTCCTTGAACACTATCCCAGAAGTGATACAGGGAGGCTTCTGTGGTGCCATTGGCAGTAGCAGAAGCTGGACCAAACATCCTTCCCCAGGGCACTGGTTAAACGGACTCCCCCCCACCCCGCCCGCCCCACCCGCCCCCCGGTGATTGCACAGCTTTAGGAGAGAGGCGACCTGCACATGCTCATGTGGAGCTATTTCCTGGTTATGAGAAGTGGTAAAGAAGAGGTATCAGACAGTGACAGTCACCTGTGGGTGAGGGTGAACTGTATGGCACGTGTGTGCTCAGCTGGCCTCAGGCCTCCAGGAAGTGGCAGCAGCCACCTCTGGGAGGGGCACTGTGGCTGAGGGGAGAAACTGCAAATTTCCTACCATAGGCCATAGTGTGGGATTTCTTCTGTGGTTTGGTTTTTGTGATGCTGTGTTTTGAGCCCAGGGCCTCATGCGTGCTAAGCAAACACTCTTAACACCGAGTCACACCTCCCCCACCCCAGCTGTTCCTGTATTTTAATTTTTACTCTGAAAATACTTCTCATGGCTATTGTAGTGAGAGACAGCCTCATGGAGCTAGGGACGTGGAGTAAAGAGTCAGGCTGCCTGGCTTCAAAACTAAGCTCCGCTGCTAGATGTGTGAGCTTGGAAAACTTGACTGCTGGCTGCCTCAGTTTCCTTGTCTATACAACAAGGACTAAAAGAGACATTAATACATAGGGCTGTGAATGTGAAAATTCATGTGAAAGCTCTCGGTCCCTGGCACTGAGCAGAGAAGCAAGCACACAGTGGCCACTCGCTGTCCTCTATCCTCAACCTCATCATGCTTAGCACTGAGCAGTGCAGGCTCTGGAGCTTCTCTGCCTCTAGTTGCTGTGTAGTGGTCATTGGAGGCCTGTGAGAACTGCCTGAGTGAGGCTCAGCTCCTGTCCCGAGGGCAGGGAGGCTGGCTTCTTGGGCACCTGTCACTGTTACTGGCTGCCCACTCCCATTATTATAGCCTTGGGACTATAAATCCTATCTCAGGAACCCAGGCCAGTCTACAAATTGCTTCCCAAGAAGATGAAAACTGCTTGGAATGGGGCTTGTGGCCCAGACGTGTATTGTCCCCCAAACTGTGCACTGGCACCCCACACATGCTGTGCTTATGCTGGCCTCCTGCAGCCCCATTCTCTCCCCGCCTTGGCACTGGTGATGAAGACGACTTTGGTGTGGGGCCATGAAAGGCCATCAGTTCAGGGAGCTCTGACCTCTTCCTTTCTGCTCTCAGGGGTCTAATGTGATGGAAGATCAGGATCTGCGGGAGATTGGCATCAGTGACGCGCAGCACCGACGGAAGCTGCTGCAGGCTGCCCGCTCCTTACCTAAGGTGACTGCCAGGGCCGGCACCATCTCCCTTATGCTCTCTGCATTGAGAGCAGGGAGGAATGTGGCTCCAGTGCACGGAGATCTTGTGGACGTCTGCCATCCCACAAACCCAGTGGGCTCACAGTCCAGGCCTGGAAAGTGGCAGAGCTGTAGAGACAGTGGACCTTTTGCACTGACAAGGAGCTTCTGTGGGTCCTCCCTGGTTCCACCAGCTTGGTGTGTCACCAGAGCCACCTTGGTCATCTCTCCTGACTCACTGAAGCCCAGGCCAACCTGTCCTAACCTTAGGAGGCCTGGGAGAAGTGAGCAGAAGCAGTACCATCTCCTCTGGGGGCCAGGAGTTGGTAGGCCTGAGCCTCCACCTCTCAACCATGCTGGTGTTGAGCCCCATATCCTCCTTTGTCCCTTCCACTCGCCCAGAACTCAGGAAGAGGCCATTTCACTGGCACATACCATTTTCTTATCCCTGCAGGCCCGTGATCCCTCAGAGCCCAGGGTGGAGGCATTCTGCAGACCCTCCTCTCCATCTTGTCTCACCTACAAGACCATTTTCTCCACATCTGGTGGCCCCATCTCCCAGAGCAGTGATAGAAAAGGCTGTGCCAGAGGAGGGACTTGGTGTGCTAAAGGCCCCTTCAGCCTGGGGCCCTCAGTCCCCAGATCTTCATCCTGTGAGGCTTAAATGTCATTCTTGTCCCTGTCTCTCCCTGCAGGTGAAGGCCCTGGGCTATGATGGGAACAGTCTCCCATCAGTGCCCTCCTGGCTGGACTCCCTGGGGCTGCAAGACTATGTCCACTCCTTCCTATCGAGTGGCTACAGCTCCATAGACACTGTGAAGAACCTCTGGGAGCTGGAGCTTGTCAACGTGAGTGCAGTCTCTGCTCAGCCCCTCCTGAAGCAGGGCCTTGGTCAGTAGGAGACAGGGTATGGAGGGGACTGAGGGCCCCATCAGCACTGACTCTCCTCTGCCTCCCTCTTGCTGCCAGGTACTGAAGGTCCACCTTCTGGGCCACCGCAAGCGCATCATCGCCTCCCTCGCAGACAGGCCCTACGAGGAGCCACCCCAGAAGCCCCCGAGGTTCTCCCAGCTAAGAGTGAGTTGGGGAGGGAAGAAAAGGCATCTGTGAGTATGCTTTGTATTTTTAGAGACAGCATGACCTCTGTCAAGAAGACAAGTCCATGCCCTCTCGCATGCTGGGCTCAAGACAGGAGCACGGGGGAGAGGGGTTGGGGGCTGGTTATTTATAAAGTAGATGTGTCTCATTTATGTAAAGGTGCTTGAGATGGCCTATGACTAAGGACCAGTTTAAATACAGGGTCAAAATAAAATAAGTAGTCCCAGATGTCACCTCAGCCATGTTTGGGAGTTAGACTCAGCTCTGCACCTAGAGGTTGAGGTGCCTCCTTCCAGCTTCAGCATGAGCTCAAGACAAAGCTGGGAGTCTCTATTCAGGACACAGCCCCTAGGGCCCCACCCCAAGCCCTCAGCTTTACAATTCCTAGGGCAGGATTAGGAACTGAGATTAAGAAATTATTTACTTATTTATTTTGGCAGTGTTGGGGTTTGAACTCAGGGCTTTGCCACTTGTGAGACAGGTGCTCCACCATTTGAGCCACACCTCTGGCCCGAGACCTGCATATTTTAAAACCTCACAGATAATGCATTGTTCAAACCAGGTGATCCCTAACTGAAAATGGACCAGGCTCAGAACCTGTAGGTCAGGACAAGCTCTCCCGAACCTGGCAAGGTTGGGCTGTGCTGTGATAGTGGGTGGCACACTTGGCCAGTCATGTGCCAAGGGCCAAACACAACACCCAGATCTGAGAGTCACTGAGGCAGATTCACACTCTAGAGGAGGCTGTGGCCCCAGTGCCCCCCACGTGCGCCCCAGAGACCTGAGGTGGACTGCCATAGATAATTTCATCTTTGAAAAATGTGGGAGGCAGTGTCTCCCCACTCTCTAGCCATTTTTTTTCCTGTACAGCCCAGGGAGGGGCCCTCATGGACTGTGGGCACTTGTGGCCCCTGCACGAGGGAGTTGTTAGTTCTTTCACTGACTAGACAGGGCCCTGACCATTCTTCTCCCCAGAGGCCTCTGGCTAATGTGCTATTTGTCTGTTACCTCCCTGCTGTTGGCCCCTTAGCTCCTACTGATTCTGCAGCCCATGCCTGGTTCCAATCTGCCCTAGACTCTCTCATACCTCCAACCTGGGGCTAAGCTGATGGCATAAGCTTCACTATTTTCTTTCCCAACAGTGCCAAGACTTGATCTCCCAGACGTCGTCCCCACTGAGCCAGAATGATTCCTGCACCGGACGGTCAGCAGACCTGCTGCTGCCTTCAGGGGACACAGGCAGGAGGCGGCACGACAGTCTGCATGACCCTGTGGTACCCTCTCGAGCAGAACGCTGCAGAGTCCAGGTGGGCAGGTGCCCACACACTGTTGAGCTGGCATCAGGGTCAAGAGGCAGCAGCAGCCTGCTTCCCTCACTAACTATCCAGTGACCTGTGTGAGGCCCCAGGCTTCCTATATACGTCCTCCCTCCCAGGTTCAGCTCCCTCCTCCTCTGTGACTATCATCTCCCACTGTCCAGCCCCACAGGCCCTTGTTAGTTCCCACAGCTCATCCTAGAGCCCCTCCCACTCTCACCCTGCTTGGTCTCCAGAACTTCTTCCTCTGCAGCCTCCTCAGCTTTGTGTCCTCCAGTCCCATTTCCCAGTAGAACAGCAGCCCAGGTTCCAGTCTGCTCTGCTGTTGCCTTTCTGAGGCCCCGTAGTGGGCGCAGCTTGGATACTCACATACTCTGTAGTGAGAGGGGTGGACACCATTCCACATTCCGAGCTCACCCTGGGGCCTTTCTCAGAGCCCCCAGATTTACTCAGCTCTTGCCTGTCCCTCCCTTGCCCATTTCCCTGGCTCTGTTCCTTACCCCATCTCAGCCACTGTAGTACCAAGAGCAGGTGACACCAGCTCCTTGGGAAGCTGAAGCTTCACTCCTGCCTTCAGCTCAGACTCCCATTTCTCAGGCTAGCCTCTGTGGGGGTGGTCTCCCTTCCCTTTCCCACAGCACAGCCATGGATTTGAGAGGCCTAAAAATGAGAGTCCAGTGGTTTCAGTTGCTCCATATGGAGCCTACATGTTGCCAGGGGTGGGAGTCTGAAGTGTTTACTGACTCTGTCCTTCTCTCCAGCCCTTCTCCCTGGACCCTGCTTACATATCCTATCACTTCTCACCTGGACAGCAGTGACTCTCTACTGCCCCCAGCTGCTGCCAGAGGCTCCATCCATGCCTCCTAGCCTTCCCACCGAAGGCTAGGAGTCCCACTGAAGACTCAGTTTACTGCCCTGACTGGGACATGTGGTGGCTGGGCATCTAGCTCCCACTGGTCAAGCCTGTGCTCTCTGCACTGAATGGTGCATGCGGCTTGTGCTTTCCTACACACACCCTGCTACATGGTCATCCTTGTCTCCTTTGAGACTTGTCAGGGCACCACAGAGCCCTTCCTGGCAGCCGTATTGCTCTTTTTCTCTTAGGGTCAATAGCTGCCACCCTTTACTGGCCTTGGTGAGGTCACTGGCCTCACCCTTGGGTGTGCTGGAGCCCTGGAGCAGGTGAACAGCATCTGACTGTGTTTTCTATAGGAGGAACCCTGTGAGGCCAAGCTGACTCTGCGACCACCTAGCCTGGCAGCCCCCTATGCTCCTGTGCAAAGCTGGCAACACCAACCAGAGAAACTCATCTTTGAGTCCTGTGGTTATGAAGCTAATGTGAGTTGTTCTTGCCCTCCCAAATGACCAACCTCCCCACTGAGTCCTGGCAGGCTCTTAGGCTGTCTTCAAGTCCAGGCCCACGACCCAAAGCCCATGCTCTACTCTGCAGCCACTCCCAGCAGCCAAAGAGAGGGGTAGAGGTCTCTGGGTAGGTTTAGCAAGAGAAGGGAGTGTTGCTGGGAGAGGTATACCACCGGATAGTGGAATGGTCCCATGTTGGCTGGGTCACCCTGCATGGCAACACAGGTATTCCTAAGCCTGGCCATTGCTCAATCCCACAGTATCTAGGATCCATGCTGATCAAAGATCTGCGAGGGACAGAATCCACGCAAGATGCCTGTGCCAAAATGCGGGTAGGTTGTCTCGGGGGCAGTGGTGGCTGGCAGGACAGAAAGGGACCATGAGTGCCAGCTGCAGACATTACAGAGGGATGGGACAAGGCTGTGGAATCAAAGAAGGGGCATTCTCAGGACCCTTTGTTTCCTGTAGAAATCCACTGAACACATGAAGAAGATCCCCACTATCATCTTGTCCATCACATACAAAGGTGTCAAGTTCATCGATGCTTCCAACAAGGTGCGCTTCTCGTAAGACTCATTGGTGGGTGTATTAAAAGTCAGACTGCATTGCGGTACCCAATACCAGAGAAAAGCAACTTAAGGGAGGAAGGATTTATTTTGGCTCATGTTTTCAGAGGGCTCAGTCTGTGGTCACTTGATTCCATGTTTCTGAGCCTGTAGTGAAGCATGAAATGCTCGTCAGAAAGCAGAGAAACAGGAAGGGGCTAGGGACAAGATGCCCCAGGGACCTACTTCTTCCAGCAAGGCCCCACCTCCTAGTTTCCAGAAGTTCCCAAAGTAGCACCATCAGATAGGGACCAGCCCTTCATACGTGATCCTTTTGGGGAAACCCTTTATATACAAAGCACAATATTCCACCCCCAACCCCAACAGGCTTCTGTTCATCTCATGATGAGAATGCATTTATTCCATCTCCAAGAGTCCCTACTGTCACCAGTTCCAATATTTTTCAGAAGTCCAAATTTAAAATCTCTGAGATTAAAAGCAAACTCTTAACTGTGAGCCCCTGTAAAAATCAGAAAGCAAGTTACATACTCCTAAGAGTAAATATTCCCATTCCAAAAGGGAGGAATAGAGTAATAGTAAGAAAGAAACAGACTTCCTTGCAGGTAAGACCAAAATCCAGCAGGGCAAACACTAAATCCTGTAGTTTCATCTCTGGAATTAGGGCAAGTGATGGTGTGATGTGAGCTCCAGTGGACTTAAGCAGCCCCATCTCCTATGGCTTGGCTCTCCTTGCTGCCTGCAGTTTTCCTTAACAGACATTTCACAATTCTGGCATCTCTGATTCCTGAGGTCTCCATTTCTTCTTCAGCTTCACCCTCACAGCTTCATGCATTACCCTCTCAGGCTGCCTGCAGGGATTCTGACCTTGCCTGGCCTCTAAGCCTTCCTTTGAAATCTGGGTAGAAGCCTCTATGACTCTGTAGCTCTTGCATTCTGCATGTCTGCAAAACCAGCATGATGTGGACCTGCAGGTCTGCCACCAGGTTGAGCATAGCCAGGCTTCGTTGGACCGCAACTGCAGTGGCCTGGGTGGCTGAGCACAGTGACAGAAATCCTGTGGCAACAACTTCTTAAGCAGCTCTGGGTGAGCAGGGCACCCTGAAGGTGCTCTCTTCTCTAGGAAAAGTCTTTCAGATGAGTTTATATTTTAATACCTTTGCCTGCCATGGGTGGGGTCTGACCAATTCCTAAAATGTCCTCAAGGCATGTTTCCTATTGTCCTAATACAAACTTACTGGGTTTCTTTTTAATGGTGTTAGTATCTTCAAAAACCATGCTTCCTTAACATCAACTTTATATAGGCTTTTCTGACCAAACTACATATTTTTCTTTTCTTTTTTGGTGGTACTGGGGTTTTGAACTCAGGGCTTCACACTTGCAAGGCAGGTCGGTGCTCTACTGCTGGAGCTCTGCCTCCAGCTAACAGCATGTTTTTCAGATCGTTCCGCTCTGCATATTTGCACCCTGTTCTCACTATAAATCAGACTAAAAGCAGCCAACAATAACTATGCCAAAGCCTGAATGTTGGACTGTCTTGAAATTTCTCCATCAAATTAATTAGTCTGTCACCTTTAAATTCAGCCTCCCTCAAAGTCTGAAGACATGGACAAAATGTGGACGAGTTCTTTGCCAGATGTAATATGAGTGCCTTCCAGTCCAGTTCCCATTCCCAAGAATCCTTGTTCCACTCTGAAATGCATGAGCAGTCTTGACTGTCAGCACTTCTTCCGAGCGCCCACCAGAATCACCCGTTAAGCTCTGCCTCCAGCAGTCTAGGCTTTCTCTAGCCTGCTTCTCCAGAGTTTTCTGAATTCCTCCTGCAAAACCAGTTCCAAAGGCCTCTGAACCACAGGGTCAGATTTAGTCACAGCAGTGATTCAGGTACCAATTTTCTGTGTTAATTACTTTTCATGTTTGTGACCAAGTACCTGAGAGAATCAATTCACAGGAAGGATTTGTTGTAGTTCATGGTTTCTGAAGTTTTAGTCCATGGTCCCTTAGCCCTGTCACTCTGGACCTAAGGTGACAGCACATTATGTTGGTGGAGAGCATGTACCAGAGGTTGCTGGCTGGCTGGCCATCCCACAGCATCCAGGAAGCAGAGAGAGAAAGGGGACTGGGGACCAGACACAACCTCCAAGTTTCCAACACCTCCCAAAATAGTGCCACCAGTGGGTGATCAAAACTTCAATCATGGTCCTTTTGGGGGACACTTCATGTCTAAACTGTAATAGCAGGAGTGGGGCCCATCATCAAAGCCCCCGGTGGGGCTCAAGGGTAGGCAACCCTTGGACCCTTTCACATCCTTTATCTCCTGTGTGCATCACCTTTCCCGGTTCTTATTTCTCCTCTGCTCACATATCCTTGTCCCTGGGTCCTACCCCTGATTGTGCTGCAATGACAGCTGCTTTTCTCTTCCCATATACCCAGGTTCCATTGGCTTCCATATTTACAGGCCTTTAAGGGTGTCAGTTCCTCAGCGAGCAAAGGACTCCCTGTGCCCCAGTACTTGGGGTCCCACCCTCCTGAGACCCTCCCCTTCTCACCCCCACTCTGGATGGTGGCAGGGGCTAGGGAGCTCATGATTGACTGTGAACATTTTCCTGCCCTAGCTGCCAAGGATAAGCATGGAGACGCCAAGCCCACATTGGGCAAGGTTAGACACAGCCCCTCGCACCCACCCCCCAAGAGAAAAGAAGTGGGGTTTGACTGATGTACGAGGCTTGGTGAAAGGCTGGGGTGGTGGTCCTGAGACACACCGCCAGGGAACCACGAACCCCAGAACATGCTTTCCCCAGCAGAACGTCATCGCAGAGCATGAGATCCGGAATATTTCCTGTGCAGCCCAGGACCCGGAGGACCTGTGCACCTTTGCCTACATTACCAAGGACCTGCAGACCAGCCACCACTACTGCCACGTTTTCAGCACAGTGGATGTGGTGAGTACATGCTGCAGCAAACATGGGCTCAGGCCCTACTCTGAGAAGGAGCTACAGATGCAGCCCTGGAGGGGCCTGGCCCCTAGTCAGTGCTGTCTTGGTCCTGCCTGGCAGTGTTCGGCCCATGAGTGAAGTCCGGCAGCACCCTGTCTGGTCCGTTTTGCACAGCAATGAGATGGAGGCACAGAGGGGACAAGGGGCTGGGCCAGAAGACTAGTGCCAGGTTTTTCAGCTCAAAGCCAAGTGTTTTTTGGGTCAGGCAAGGCCTGCATCTCCCCAAGGCTTTGTTTGTCATCCCAGTGCCCCAACTCCAAAGCGTCAGTGGGTAGTACCATCTCTTTCTGAGGTTTCTGCTCTGGTTGGCCTCAGTGCTGAGGAGCATTCCTTCCTCACACACCTACACAGGGCATGGACAGGAGCTGACAGCCCACAGAGCGGGGATTCCTCCTGTCCAAGACATCTCCTCACCCTAGCAGGAAGCCAGGGGTGTCCAGGTCCCTGTGGCTCCTCCAACAGACAGCTATGGGTAGTCCTTGCACTCTGGAACCGTATGTGCCCAGCTCTGCCTCTTGTAGCTGTGTGATTTTGGAAACATAGCCTCTCCACCTTCCTCCTACCAAGGGAACCATGACCAATCTTAGGGGGCTACACTCAAGATCAAATACGGTGACTCATACAGCACTCAGTTCACAGCTCCTTACCTGTTGCTCACATTTTCCAACTAGAGTCAGTTTTGCTGTAACAACACACATGCTGTATAAATTACCCAGTAAAGACCATCAGGTTTGTGAGCAAATGGGGCTGGAGCATAGCACTCACAAACTAAGGTGGTGACACTAGGAAAAAAAGGAATGTAATAAAACCAGCACCATTTTATTCATATTAAAATCATTAAGACATACCTTGAATACTGCAATATGCATAGCACTCAACCTTCAAAAAGACTTAGGCTGACTCGCAGAAATGTGCACCTGCTCAGCCCTGGCCCACCACCCTGTGAGAGAACAATCACCAGTGAGAAAGGAAGAGAGGCTGGAAAGTGTAGGGTGGGGGCCACCCCACCCAGCTGGCAAGGAAGAGGGACAGGCTGCAGGGTGTGGTGCACTGTGGGAGTGGGGGTAGAAGTGCCAAGTGTGGGTGGTTTGTGTTTTGTGTATTTTCTTGTGACTTGGTTCAGCTAGCTGCAGTTTTTGCATTCATCTAGGAAGCTCAAACTGTTCCCTAATGTACCACCTCATTGGAACAAATGTGCTTTCAAAGCAAATGTTCCCTTGTTGCCTGTCCACTGTGAGGACAGCAGATGTGGAGCCAAGTGAGGAAGCAGCTTCTAAACTCCTGTGTTCAAGTAGTGCTCTGCTTTCTCCCAGAACCTCACCTACGAGATCATCCTGACGCTGGGGCAGGCATTTGAGGTGGCCTATCAGCTGGCCCTGCAGGCCCAGAAGTCCAGGCCAGTGGGGGCCTCTGCAGTCGAGATGATTGAAACGAAATCTTCTAAACCGGTGCCTAAGCCTCGGGTTGGCATGAGGAAGTCTGCAGTACGTGGGCCGTTTTGCCAATTCCCCAGCTCCCAGCCTCGGGACTCCAGTGCGTGGGGGTGGGACAAGGCACGTGGAGTGTCTTCTCACTCCTCCAAGTAGCCAGCCGTAGGGAAGTGGCTTCTTAACCCAATTCCCTGCCTTCAATGCACCAGGCTCCTGTGGCATGAGGTGGGCGGTCTCTAGCTCCCCTTCCTTGCTGGGCAGACCCAGGCCAAGGCCTCATGGGACCGCTGAGAGCAGGGCCAAGGCGAGCGCCCAGTGATACCATCCCTGTGTCTGTGTCTGCTTTGCTCTGCACCCCAGGTGCCGCTGCCCCCTGATAGTCGCTGTTGTTACTGTCACACCTGTACCACCCACCGTCCTTCCTACCTACCGCTGCCGTCTGCTAGTCCTGGGGTCAAGGTCTCTACACCTGCTGTCTTGTGTGTCAGTCTCCCTGAAGTGACCGTGAGCTTTCTCAGTCTCTTTGCTCCTTCCCTGAAACCCTCTCCCCTTCCCTGTGTGTGCTTTGTCTTTGGTTTCCCTGTTGTGTGTCCAGACAGAGGTCTGGGATGACTGCTGTGTTCTTGCCTCAGGCTGCACTCTCTGCCGCACTAGAGGGACCAGAGCGTCGGGCTTCTAAGTCCTATGTCCCCTTTCTGCCCATCAAGACCAGTTTGGGGTTTAGCGTAGGAGGCTCAAGTAGGGCTGGCTTCCTTACTTGAGCAACCCCAAGACATTGCTGGGAGAAGCCGTCCCCGGAGGCAGCCATTCCCAGTGTGCTCTAGGGAGAGTGACACCACCTCCCAGGGGCCTGCTCTTTGGTGGACGCTTCAGGCCAGTCTGGGGGAGGGCACGCTGGGCACTGCTCCCCTCTAGCACAGAGCTCCCACTCTGACTCTCTGCCTGTTTCCTTGGTTGGCAGCTGGAACCACCCGATACAGACCAAGAGGCCCCAAGCCATGCCAGTGTCTCCTGGATTGTAGAGCCAAAGCCAGACTCTAAGCGGAGCCTCAGCACCAAGTATGAGACCACTATCTTCTAAACAGCCCACCCTGTCTCCACTAGTCTCACTGTGCCTTTGCCACCCGATCTTTCTGCTGTCTCAGCTGTCCTTCCAGCAGTCGCCGCCATGGCCCCCACCTCCACTGGGACCTGCCCTCCTCCCGGCAGCTACTCTAAACACTGCACTCACAGCTCCTGTACCTAATACCACCCAACACTGTGAATTCACCCCTTGGGCTGGAGACGGCTGAGGGGGACCGTTGAGGTGGGCACCAATGGGGCTCTGCAGCAGGCCCTGTGAGCCTGAGAGGTGGTAGCAGCCATCCACACGGCCCCACTGGCAACCTCTGAGATGGCTCTTGCTCTCTTCTGTTTTCTATCCTGACCACAGCTGGGTGCCACAAGCTCACTATCTTCACCTTTCCTGACACAACCAACCACTGTGACTACCCAGTGCCAGAGTCCTGTGCACTCTCTGCTCACAGCTGGCTGCAGCCTGCCATCCCCACAGCTGCTCTAAGGTGCTGGCTCTCTCTCCTGGTCAGGCCCCTGTGAGACCCTGAGTTTGGTGATGTGGCTTGACCTAAGACCAGCTGCTTTCTGGGAGGGCCCTAGGTACCAGCTAGGTACCAACGTGGGGCTGTGAGCCTCTGAACACCTCTGGGCAACTCCATACAGGAGTGTGGGTGGTGGGGCTGTATGTGAGTGGCCCCCGTGTTTGCATCATAGAGGGCCTTCAGACCCTGGGCTTGGCTTTGGAGTCCAGCTCACCACGGAAGACATCCTTCCTATAGGGCCAAGCATGAGGGAGTCTGTGCCCTGCACCCCTTCTTCTCTCAGAATGGAGCTACCTGAGCACAGGGGCCTGGACCGAGCACCTTGCATTGTCTGTGGGAGCTGGTACTTCTCTGTGATGCGGGGACCCAAGATAGTCAGCCATGATCCAGCCTTCCCCTAAGCACCCTCCTTTGGCTCTCAATCCTCCAAGAGGAGGGCCCAGTCTCACCTTACAGCAGTTCAGCAGCTGCCAATGTGGAGCTGAGTGTTGGAAGAAGCCCATATTCCCCACTGTGAGCAGATCGATGTAGATGGTAGGAGACAGGAAAGCAGCAGTTCCAGTAGGAAGTGGTACAAATGTAGCACAGTCCAGTGGAAAAGCCACTAAGTTAGAGTCAACACCCAAGTCGAAAAACCAAAGTGGGGCCTTCTGCCACCTTCCTGTCCTTGTGCCTTCCTGAGCAGATGACTGGGCCAGCGGTGGGCTGTGGGCCATGGAGGGCACTCAGCGGGGGGGCTGTGAGGGATCTACTCTGCTTCTGTGTCCTTCCCATTTCCTCCACCTGTACAGGCCCTTGGTTAACCCTTTCCTCCCCCCCCCAACCCGTTGTTTGCTTCTACCAAGCTGAGCCACTGAGGAACCACACTGTGCTGCGGAAACAGACGTGGGGCACACAGGCTCCTGCCTCCCACCACCGCCTCGCCTGCAGCTCTGAAGACCCAGGCCCAGCCCCTGTCTATAGGACCTGCTCCCAGCTGCTTGGCCTGGGCCTGCCACCACCCAGTCTGCTCTACAGAGAAGACTCCAGGCCTCTAGCTGATGAGACCAGAACTGTAGAGGGCCCAGGAGTGACTTGTTCAGTGACATGTTTTTAACAGAAAATCTTTTTATAAAACGAATTTTAACACTTGGCTCAACTTCTGGTTAAAACTGCCAATCTTTAGCTAAATGGCCATGGGGTCAGAGACAGAGGAACTGAGATTTGCCAGTCTGCCCTCGGGCTGGGGTTTCAGCACAGCCAGGGTGTAAGGAGAAGGCAGAGTTAAGGAAATTTTTTGTTCTGCTTTTCATACCCAATTTCTTGTCCTTGTCTAGAGCTGGACTTGGGCTTTTTAGTAAGAACACTGCCTTAGGTTCCAAGTGGGAAGGTGCAGTGGCCAAAAGGAAGTGAGCCAATCGTTTCTGGTGCCAGGAAGTTGCAGGGAGCTCCCCAGTGTCTCAGGGCACTGTCCAAGGCTGGCTGCCCCATGCTGCCTAGTGACATTCTGTACAGCTGAGCTAGGAGAATAGGCAACTTTGTTTTGGACATTGATGGGTAGGGCAGCTAAGATTGCTACTTGCCAGTGTGTGACTTGTCTTCTTGAGGCCTGTGTGGTTAGGACTTGGTTTGACTGATGTATTCTCCACTGCTGCACATTCTTCTGGTCCAGGTGTGGAAAAGGCTGGATCAGATGACAGTCTGCTTGATTTCCCCCAGTATGGCCTTGGGGGCAGGCTGGTGTCCTGGACAGCACTGCTGCTCAAACCTTTCTGCTAGCTTGTTAGGCTTTTCATAGTGGCTCAGGTGGTGGTCTTCCTCCTGGACTCCGTGAGAGCAGAGAGGCAAAAGCCAGGCCACCTGCTGTCCAGGCCCTTCTAGGGTGGGGAGCAGAGAGGAGCTCTGCCCCTAGATCCATTACAAGCCTCAGTTCAGCTCAGGATGGGTACTCCAGGCTTCCCAGAAAGTTGTAAGTTGTAACTCTGTGCCAGTGTGCACAGACAGGGGAGAGCCTCAGGCACCTTCAGCACCGCTGTGGTCAACCAGAAGTAGCAAGCAAGCCCGTGTCTTCTGCTAGGCCTCACGGGCTTCCTGTGTGCTGAAGCGCACAGCCCAGCAGGTGCTGGGTTGCATCCTTGTGCAGGAGAGGCCAGCTGTCCTCCATTGCTAGGTACTAAACAAAGACCTGGAGGTTATACATCATTTCCCACCATCCCTCTCTCTGTTCTTGGAAGGATCCCCATCAGCTCCCACTGGGCAGGGAGGCCCACAGCACTTGGGTCAGTCTTGCCACACCTGTTTCTGGGCACCCTTCATCCTCCAAGGAGCCAAGTACAGTTGAGGCTCTACTGGTGGGTGCCAGGCCTGATGGGAAAACTGTAGACACTACGATGAGTTCAAGCTGTACTGTTTTTTAAGTCACATTAGGCATTTCTTCCCCTTGAAGCTGCTATATCTTATTTATTCAGGGTGTTTTCATATTGGAAAGCCTTGGCTAGTCTGCTCTGGGTCTTGTTTTGAGATTGGTTGATTTCTGGATATTCGAGAAGAAAGGAAGGCAGATCTCTTTTGCGCTTTCTCTTCCTCCTCCTCGGGGCAAACAAAAACTCTCCCTTTCCTAGAAAGGAATACTGTAACTTTCAAGACAGGCATCAAGCGGAATGGCCCCTGCTTTGGCAGTTCCTTGAGCAAGTCACACAGTGTGGCAAACCTGGTTGCTGTACCTGAACTGTGAGACAGCCTGTTCGATGGGAGCTGTAAGATGCTGTGTACAGTACCTGTGCTGGCCGCAGGCTCCCTGCTTGCCTCTCCTCTCCACTGCCGATGCTCTGGGCAGTAGGTCTCCCTCCTGCCAGGCTCTGCCATCTGTAACGCTGCGCTTCCTACTCGGGCCTCTAGCGCCCCATACTGGGGAGTTCCTTCAGAAGCCTTGGGTTTGGGCAGGCATCACACACAGGTGCGGTCAAGACATTAGCAACTCACTAGTCTCAACTCGGTCCTTTTTGAGATGCCCAGCCCTGCACAACGCAGTTCACAACTAATGGCGTGGCAGTGGGACTGAATTGTAATAAAAATGTTATTTAATCATTGTCTCTGTATTTTGATACTTGAATGACTTCCCCTTTTGTTTTACTGTACATATAATTTGTTGATCTGATTTTGTCTGAATTATGAACATCTTGTGGTACCAAACATAACCAACCTGTGCAACATAGACTGACCTCACTACACAAGAGTGTAAATATTCCTGGGCTTCCAGCTTTGGGTTTGTTACTTTCTTAACTGTACAATTTAGAACAGATGGAATTAATAAATAAGAAACATAAAACTGGCCTTATTTTTTGAGTCTCTGAATTGAGAAGTTCCTTGGTCATTCTCTGGTGGAAGTGGGCACGCAGGCTGGATGCCACTATGGGGTGGAATGAGTGTCCTGCAGAGTTTGGTTCCCATGACAGTTTGGGAATTCTCCATCAGATAGCTGCCACGGTGGCCTGTTAGTCAACCCTGTTTGGTGCGGGGCCCTGCTTCTCACCTTCCCACCCTGCTAGGCACACTACCATCTGAGCCATGCCTCCAGCCTAAAGGGTAGATTTGGAAAGGTACAAACGATAAAAGTCCCTTCATTGACTGTCCACCTGTGTTCCAAACACTAGACACTTTTTAAAAGCAACCATATCTTTGGCCCCCACACCTTTGGGACTAGGTATTAATCATCTCTGTTTTTAGAGAAAATGGGGGCTTGGAAAGGTTAAAACATCTGCTTAGTGTCAAGCAGGGAATCTAGCCCAAGCTGTCTGAGTCCCTGCTTGGGCTTCAACCCCGACCTGTCCAGCACAGAAGGCTTTTTTCTTGAGTTTCTGTGAAATGTTTGATTTGTTAAACATTCACAGATCCAGTCCAATGCCCAATTTTACTTGTGAAGAATACAAGGCCCAGAGAAGAAAAATGGCTCTGTCTTGGCTAGCCAGCTGATGGCAGAGAGGGGACTGAAGCCCAGGCTCTTGCTCCCAGGTGGGGTTTCACCGCCACAGCTCACTCATGTGGGGAACACAGAGCAGCTAAGGGGAGAGCAGAGCAGGGAGCTTCCTATTTCCACTTACACCAAAATAAATCTCAGGTGGCCCACATACCTTAAACATGAAAAAGAAAAGAAACCTCAAAGCTGAAAAAGACATTTTTCATGCTCTTGGTATGAGAACGGGTCTTTCCAAACATGTTATAAGATTCAAATACAGTCTTTTAAAACAATATATTCAACTACATGTAAAACCAAAATTTCTGCATAGCAAAATGCACCATTAAGAAAAAGAACTGAAAATCATGTTTGTCCCAGATGGCTTGACAGTAGCTTCTGAAGTAAACTGGAACATCTGCTTGCAGGAGTCCCTTTTCTTCCCACTCAGTACAGTTAAAAGCCAAGAAAGGGGCAACCTCAAAGGCAAGAAACTGGTAGACAATAACTGCTGTACTCTAGCCAGACACTACAGAAGAAAATGAGGCCCCAAACCCACCTTGCCAACCAGGCTGTACCAGGTGCCCAACACTACCATGGTGTAGAGTCAGAGGAGGCCTAATGGAGTAAGGCCACTCACCATTGCCCAGTGTTACCAGGCTGTTCCCACCCAGCAGCAAGGAGCTGCCTCACACCTTAGGTATCAGCAGAAGTAAGAAAGGGAACTTGAACTTCTACCCCACCTGGCAGGAAGGAGGCCATGTCTCTCATTCCCTTACCAGAGTGGTGTCAAACAAGTCAAATAAAATAGGTTTAAATAAGATTGAAAGTCTCACTGGTGCCAGGGTCTCATGTCTATAATCCTAGCTACCCAGGAGGCAGAAATCAAGAGGATTATGGTTCAAAGCCAGCCTGAGGCAAATAGTTCATGAGACCCTATCTTGAAAAACACCCAATACAAAATAGGGCTGGTGGAATGGCTCAAGTGGTAGAGTGCCTACCTAGCAAGCATGAGGTCCTGAGTTCAAGTCCCAGTACTGCAAAAAAAAAAAAAAGATTGAGAGTCTCAGAACATAATATAAACATGTCCAAGTTTCAATAAAAAGTCACCTGTCAGCTGAATGCAGTGATGTGCACCTTAATCCCAGCTCTCAGGAGGCTGAAACAGGAGGATTGTGAGTTAGAGGCCCACCTAGGCTACGTAGTGAAATCCTATATCAAAAAGTAAAAAAGTCATACCAAAACCAGAAAGATCTCAAACTGCATTTAAAAAGCAATAAACATGTCAACAAGATAACAGGTTGCCTGACAAAACTTTTAAAACACTCATGATAAAAATGCTTCTATGAACAATTATGAAGCAAATGGAAAGTCTGAGCAAAGAAGAAAGTGAAGCTGGGCACAGTGGCTCAGGCCTGTAATCCTGGCTATTTGGGAGGCTGAGATCAGGAGAATCACAGTTTGAGGACAGCAGGGCAAATAGTTCACAAGACCCCATCTCCAAAATGACCAGACCAAAATGAACTGGAAGTGTGGCTCAAGCGGTAGAGCACCTGCTTTGCAAATGTGAAGCCCTGAGTTCAAACCTCACGCTCACATTTAAAATAAGGTAACATGAAGAACCTAATGGAAATTTTACAACTAAAAAGTCTAATAACCAAAGTAAAAAGGTCACTGAATGACTGAATGGGCTGAAGAACAGAATGGGGGTGGGGGGGGGAAGAATTCACAACCTAGATAACAAAATAACAGAAATGACCCAATTTAAACATCAAGAAAAAATGGAAAAATATGAGCCAGGCGCTGGTGGCTCACGCCTGTAATCCTAGCTACTCAGGAGGCACAGATCAGGAGGATCGTGGTTTGAAGCCAGTCCAGGCAATAGTTCGCAAGACCTTACCTCGAAAACACACATCACAAAGCAAGGCTGGAGGAGTGGCTCAAGCTGTGGGCCCTGAGTTCAAGCTCTAGTACCACAAAAATTGAAAAAAAAGAATAGAATCTCAGAAACCTGTAAGACCACAACCAAAGAGATGACATATCAACAGAGTCTCAGCAGGACTCTAAAGTGAGGCTTTAAAATGTACTCAAGCCAAACATGGCAGTGCACAGCTGTAATTCCAACACTCCACAGGCCAAGGCAAAAGACCAGCCTGGGCTGCAGGCTGAGACCCTGTCTCAACAAACAAAACAATAATAATAATAAATAAAGCAGTGTATGGTAATGGATTATAGTCCCAGCACCAGGGAGTCAGAGACAGAAAGAGGATGAGTTCCAGGCCAGCTTGGGCTACACAAGACCCTGTCTCAAAAAATTGTTTAAAACAAAAGCCTGAAAACATCCCAAATTTGACAAGAGACACAAAACTACTGATCCAGGAAGCTGAACAAACCACATAAAGCCAAAGAAATCCATGCCAAGATACATCATAATTAAATTCTGGAAGATGAAAGACAAAAAAAAAATCTTGAAAGCAGCAAGAGAAAGAAAAAAAACATACCTTGCCTATAGGATGAAAACAACTTGAATGATGGACTTTTCATCAGAAAAAAAAGCAACTGTCACTATTTTTCAGATGATGAAAGAGCCATTAACCCAGAACCCTACCCTCTGCAAATATTCTTCAGAAATGAAGGGGACCAGAGCACTCTCAGAGGAAAGCCAAGGACTTTGGCACCAGATCTACCCCAAAAGACTGTAAAGAAGCTTACAGCATGGACGCAGAAGGAAAATATGATTAAATACAATACGCTTTCTACTCCTGAGTTTTTAAATTATGTTTGATGGTTGAAGCAAAATTTGTTAGGCAGTCTAACATGGTTCTAAATGTATGTAGACAAAATATTTAAGACAGTATTTTAAAGTAGCAATAATAAAGGGATGGAAAGGGACATAAAGGGAAATAAAGTTTGTATACTTCACCTGGTAAATGTGTCTCCAGGAGACTATGACAAGTTATACACAAAACATAAAACAACCACTAAGAAGCTTACATAGAGAGAAAGCACTACAGGTAAATCCAAATGACGGAAGGCTGAAAACGGGTCAAGTTCTGGGCATAATGGTGCACACCTGTAATCCTACCTACACAGGAAGCATCACTGGGAGGATCATGGTCTGACGCCAGCTTGAGCAAAAAGTGCAAGATTCCATAGAAAAAATAACTAAAGCAAAAAGGGCATGGCTCAAGGGGTAGAGCACCGCCTCACCTTGCAAGTGTGAAGCCTGAATCCAAACCCTAGTACTGAAAAAAAAAAATTGAGATTGACAGATTATTTAAAAACATGAACAAGGGATAGGGAGTATAGCTCAGTGGTACACACATGCCTAGAATGCACACCGTAAAATAAATGTGAACCAACTATATAATATACCCAAGAAACTCACCTCAAATAACAGTATAAGCAGGTTGGAAAAAAAAGATGAGAAAACAGATATGTAATCAGAGGAAAACAGGACTAGCTGTATTATCATCTCACAAAGCAGACTTCAGAGCAGAGAAACTTACAAGAGACAGGAACATTATAAAATGATAAAAGGGTCACTGCACCAAGATTATAGCAAGGCTAAATGGGTACGCACCAACAGCAGAGCTGCAAGACAGGTGAAAAGAGAAATGCAGGCCAATGCACAAAAACTCTGAACTGAATTGTGTCCCACCCAAATGCATGTACTGAACCAAACCTCCAAAAGAGGACTGTATTTAGAGTTTTGTGGGGTAACTAAAGTAAATTAGAGGTTTTTAGGAGATTATTAAGGCTAAATGACATTGTAAGAATGGGGTCCCAAAGTGTATCCATGTATGAAGAGAGAGTAAAGCCTGTTGGAATTGTCCTAAGAAGGGCAGAGGGAGGTGGAAAAGGGAGAACGTTGGAGAAAGTGAGTCAAAGATATTTGTAAACACATTAGCAAATGACAACTATTATATGTTAATTGAAACTTTTTGAAGAAAAAAAAAAAGAATGGGGTCCTAATCTGATAGGACTGATGGCTTTATAGAAGAATCTCTCTCTCTCTCTCTCCCCCCCCTCCCCTGCCCCTCTCCATTTATGTGCACACACACACCCCAAGCATGTAAGCAACCATTACAATCTAGGGAGAGAACTCTCACCAGAAACTGGTCTCCACCTGCAGCTTGTCAGCCTCCAGAAGGGTGAGAAATGAATTTCTGTCATTTAAATTATGGCAGCGTGAAGAGATGAATACAAGGAATACATCAATCTCTCCGTATCTGTGCAATCCAACAACTGTGAATCAAACACATTTTTTAAAGTTTTGTCTGTATTAAACGTATCCATTATTCCCTAAACAACATAGCACAACTATTCACGTGACATTGACATGGTGACAGCTATTGTGACACCTGGGCATCCATGGATTTGGTGTCAGCAGGGGTCCTGGAACTAAGCCCGTTGATAGGATGACTTCTCAACAGTTATCAAACTAGGCAGAAAACAAAGAGGACACAGGACGCTCTAGCACCAATGACCAACAAAACCTAAGCAGCAGTTTTCAAACAATCTGGCTGCAGCAGCAGAATGCCCACGGAACCTATCCCGGGCCATAAAACAAACCTTGAGAAACTGCAAAGAATTAAAATAATATAGAGTATGTTCTTCCACCACAGCAGATCAAGACAGAAATCAGTGAAAGAATGATAGGAAATTCTGT